CGAATGCGTCAGCTGCTGGGTCAACAAGCGTCAGAGGAGCGTCAACATCCATTGCTTCGCGAGTTGTTTTTGCAGAGACTGCCACAGTCAACACGGATGATATTCGCTGGCTCGGATGACGCGACTCTCGGACGTCTGGCTCAACTCGCCGACCGCATCACCGACTGCACTGAGCCACCAGAAATGTCTATTGCTGCAACGGGAAGGCCCGAACATGCAGACCGGTTAGGTCGCTTAAAGGACAGAGTTGACCGACTGGCTGCAGCAGTTGAAAACCTCGCCCTGTCCAACAAACACCGGCCTGCACGGCATCGTTCGCCGTCCCGTGCTCGAAGCCCGCTGTACCGCGGACACTCAAGCGAGGCAGAGCAGAACATCTGCTGGTACCAACGTCGTTTTAGAGAGCAAGCCACTCGCTGCACCCATCCAAGCTCGTGGACGGGAAACGCACCGGCCAGTCGCTAACGGCGGAAAGCGACACGGGCCATCGTTCAAGCCGCCTCTTCTTCGTTGTCGACCGCATCACCGGCACACGCCTCCTTGTCGATACCGGAGTGGAGCTATCTATCCTACCAGCAGCAGCTCAGCATCGCCGGGGCGGCAAGTCCATTTCGAGCCTAATTGCAGTCGATAATACTGCTATTGCAGCATATGGAGTCCAGTCAATGATGATAGACATCGGACTCAGGCGTACATTCGATGGCTCTTCGTTGTGGCCGACGTCAGAATTGCCATTCTGGGAGCGGACTTTCTGAGCCACTTCAATCTTGACATCAGCGTTCGCGATCGTCGTCTCAATGATAACGTTACTTCGCTCGCTGTTATCGGACTGAAGTCTGACCTGTCCTCATGCAGCATTTGCACTTTCAACCCAGAGTCAAACTTTCAAAAGATTCTGGCTGAATTCCCTGAAATCACCAGACCTTGGAACACCGAACTGCCAATCAAACACAAAGTGACGCATCACATTGTCACCACCGGACCGCCCGTCACCGCTAGACCTAGGAGACTCGCTGGACAAAGACATGAAGTCGCCCACCATGAGTTCGATCACATGCTCCAACTCGGCATTATTCGACCTTCTTCCAGCAACTGGTCTTCCGCGCTGCACATCGTGCCAAAACAAGAGTCTGGTGACTGGTGGCCTTGTGGTGATTATCGGGCACTCAATGCTGTGACAACGGCAGACCAATATCCCCTCCCCCACATACATGATTCCAGCGCTCGCCTCGCGGGAATGACCATCTTCTCTAAGCTGGATCTGATGACCTCTCATCACCCGATTCCAGTAGAACCAAGCGACATCCCAAAGACAGCCTTGACAACGCCTTTCGGCCTCTTTGAATTTGTTCGTATGCCGTACGGACTGAAGAACGCGGCACAAACTTCCAAGCGTTTCATGAATGAGGTCACTCATGGACTGCTCTTTGTTTTTGTCTACTTAGACGACAGAAGGTAGAGCAGCACAGACTGCTCCAGCCAGAGGCGCTGCTGGCGCAACTGCGTTCACACTTGGTGTGAATCTCGCAGGTGCCGAAAAACGTGGCACGGCACCCCGGCGCGCCACGTCAGCGAAGGAAGGATCAGAATGGTTTTGTGCAGAAAACCATTGTAGAGCCTCTTAGAATGATAGGTTGAATTTAACCTCGAGTTCTAATATCTGTTTCTCTTTTTTTCCTACGGAGCATGATTAGAAGTGGGTGGGGTGATCTCCTTCACAGTTAGCGCAACAGGTTTTTGAAGTACACTTGTCGGATGCATGTTCACAAGATGCCCACTTCGAGCAGCTAGCGCGCCCTCTGCACGTTTGGGATCCCTGTCCAAAGTGCTGGCACTTGAAACATCGGCGGGGATTTGGTACATAAGGTCTGGCACGAAGCTTTCAGTAACCGGTTTCAATGGAGTCAGGGAGGTTGCTTGTTTTGAAGGTAATTATGATGTGCTTTGTTGGGATCTGTTAGTCATCTCACCTTATTGTAATTTTTTGTACTTTCACTACATTCTGTTCCTGCCATCCTTCGAGCAATTCACTTTCAAATAGCGCGAGGAGGTCATCATCAGATACAACACCATGCACTGTATTCATCCACTTATGTGGGCCCACCGATACAGGGATGTTACCAAATGCTACAAGTTTCGAGAGCTTGTCGTACTGGGTCTTGTCGCGAACTTCTAGAAGGAGATTGCCACCCCCATCTTTGTTACTTTGTAGCCTGGGCCAATTTCATCTGTGAGAGTTTTGAAGACAATGAATGGTGAAATAGATCGGACTGTTTTCTGTTCATTCTGACTGTGAATTACGTGGTACTTGGGGAAGGTTTGTTTGGGCTGTGCAAAAAAGAAGCTGTCATCGGTGCGCCACCTTTTAAGGCGGCGATCAGAGAGTTAGGAAGAAGGGTTTTCCATAAGGAGTATTTATAGTTCCGCGGGCGATGGTGGCCACCTACAACTGAGCCCAACAAGACGACGCTGCAAGGTTGAATAAGAAACATCTATGTCGCCAGCCATGCATCGCCGCTATAACCAAATATACCTGCCCTAGGCAGAGCAACTACAGAAGGTTAACCCTTGCCGCCAGGAAACCAAAAAGTAAATGAAAACAGTAGAAGACAGGAAACAGTAAAGGAAAGACAAAGGCAAAGATTTAGGAATGGAAAGATAGGAAAAGGCGACAGTTGATTTCCCCTGGATGGGTCAGCCACGGGGTGCCGTCTACGTGAAGCCGAGGCCAAAGGGTGTATGACCCCCGCCAGGAGGCCTTAAAGGGTCACTCACCAGGCCCCATACCAAATTTTAGTTACACAGTGGAAGTTGCTGGGTGTCCGATGAGGAACATTTTGCCACAAAAATTTTTCGAATCGGTTCATCACGAGCGGAGAAAACAGGTTCTTTGAAGCGGCCTGAAACGAGGATGAGAAGAGGCGAGCTTGAAACCCTTGCCGCTCCTCCGCGTAGCCTTGGCAAGCCAATCTCTTCCCCATCGTCTCAGCCTCCGACTAAGAGGTCACGTGCGCATGATGTGCTCAAACAAGTCCAACCCCCGAGCACGCAAGCGGCGTTGCTTTGTTGACCAGCGTTATTTCGTGGTCTTCTGCTTGTTTTTGCGGGATGGTTTGGAAGCGCTGGCTTAGACGCGGTAGAATAGATGAGCACAATGAGTGCGCAAATGCGTAGGAGCGTTCCATGGCGGTCGTCTGCTCGATGGGCTGACCGCGGGTACACAAACGCATGCGAAACGCCGGCACATTAGTCCCGCCTCTCGTTGCACTTCACGGGAGAAAAATGGAAAAAAGACGCTGACATTCCCTTATTGCGTCTCATTATTTATCTAGAGCTTTGTTAATCTCTTCAAGCTACAAATTACATAAACTATGCATGCCATTTTAAATAATTTTCGCCATGTCACCTGCCACTGTTTGCAACGTCAGAGCAGAGTCGTCTACATAGAGGACCAAAGTCACTGCATTGCCATGTACGTAGGGCCATTCATACACGCATCTCATGCCCTCATTCTATGGGCGCGCGCCGGCAGAAGGGAGGGGGAGCAGCGTTCATCTTGAAATTTGACCCATTTCCGCGGCCCGTAGCATTGCAAATTTTGGCAGACGTGATCATGAACGCCTCGTCTACGCATTGCGCTTGTCAGGTCAAAATTGTCAAACCTGGTGAGTGGCCCTTTAAAGGTCCAATCACCAGGCATCAGCTAAGCCCCCAGGATCCCCTTTTCCCTGGACATGGCTCAGCCACACATGGCTAGGCGTAGGAGGGATATTACGGCCAGGTGTGGGAGGTGTCATTATATGACAACTTAAGGTCATTAGCACAACTTAAGGTCATTATACGACAACTTATGTAAATGTTGCATGATTATTTAAAGAATTCTGTTTCCAGTACCAGCTGCCAGTTCCAGCCTAACTAGAGCAAAAATTCATTCCCATAGACTAATACAAAAATCGGCAACTTTTTCAGGAGGAGGGCCAAGTTGCATGGATCCAACTCGGCATGGGTAGTTTGCAAAGCCAGGGGGAGGGGGGGCTACTTTGCAGACAAATGGCAGGAAATTGATAAATGGCCATTGTTGCTGCTTGTTGGCCATTGTGGCCATTGTTGCTGCAGTTGAAACAAAAGCGTCTGCAATCTTGAAGCCAATGGCGGAAAATTGATCAATGGCCATTGTTGCTGCTGCGGCTCCTGCTGCTTTCAGTCTGCTGCTGCTAGTGCAGTAAAGCCGGGCAACGTTGTGCATGGCAACAGTGACGTGAGTCGGTCCGGTCAGTCCGCTTCTTAAGGCGGGTAATTTGAAGTGCGCTAACCCGATTCGGAGCACTAAAAACGTGATTTTATTTCAGAATAGGCCCTTCTTTGGCACAAAAGTAACACTATGAGGTTTCTGGAGCGCCATTTCAACATCAACTTCGGCTTAATACTGGACTTTAGTGTCCCTTTGCCTAAACGAGGCATGGAACAGTCTATTCACTCTAAATTGACTCCTTATATTGTCACTTGGTTTTGACAGTGAAGCAAGCACAACTCCAGCTAGTAATGATTAAACAATTTATGGGCCGAATTAGTGCCCAGAAAGAAAAGAAGTGGCACGGTCAGTGCAACAATGATAGCCTTGAGCACAATCGTTGGTTGTCGGTGATCTGGTCAGCTATAAGGCTTGTTGGCATTTATACATGTGGCATCGAAAATTCCAGCCTTATCACTGGTGGGCCATGTAATTTCCAGAATAATCGTCGTTCGCATTGCATGCAAGGCAGTGGTTACATGTGTAACAAGACAATTATACGATAACAAAAAAAGACGTGCGCATGGCAACATAAAGGTACAGAGCTTATCACCCACAAATGCTGTCTAATGGTTGCTACATATAACACCATTTCTAACTTAGCACATTACAACAGACAACAAAAGCACTGATAATGGGCATATCCTAACAAGTCAAAAGTTTATGAGAGTTATTGTTAACGGATAGTTCCGCGAGACAAATGCCTTACAGGACGAAGAGGGATGAAGACTGGAACACCTCCGGCCATCAGGGTCATTGGCTCATAACAGTCGAAGAAGGGCTCAATGATAATCACCTGCATGGCAAACAATGGCATGTTAGTTTTAGATGCTTAGCTCTAGAAGTACTAAATAGTATTACAAGAGACAGCATAAATGCTGTAGACTCCTACAACTTATCTCCCACACTTTCATTTCTTTTTTTTTTCTTTCTTCAAGAACTTTTCGAAAAACATTAAAGGATCCTCACACAACTATGGGTGATAAATGCCACAGCTTGCCATTTTCCCTCATTGCACCGTAAGCAGTGCCTTTCTTCAGCATGAATGTTTTAATCATGTGATATGCAGAATAAAGTGCAAATGCTTATTAATGTAGAGACTGCAACATTGACCCTTTCAAGGTTCATGCCGTACGTGTACGACATGACCTAACCCTAACAGGCCCCAAAAGGTTTACGTCGCACATGTATGTCACTGCCTATATTTCTAAAATGCGTGCCTTTATCGATCATTTCTCTTACTTGGCATGTGCTGCTACAGTTGGGGAATACAAAGAATTCTTTTCATGCGCCAATGACTCTCTGTTGTTGTTTTTTTCTTTTCAAAGCGGCCCACTGGCTTTTGCTATTGCATATGAGTGTGGGTGCACAGTGAAGCTGATTTCAGTTTCATCCTTTGGGTGGTTGATTGATTTGTGGGGTTTAACGTCCCAAAACCACCATATGATTATGAGAGACGCCGTAGTGGAGGGCTCCGGAAATTTCTACCACCTGGGGTTCTTTAACGTGCACCCAAATCTGAGTACACAGGCCTACAACATTTCCGCCTCCATCGGAAATGCAGCCGCCACAGCCGGGATTTGATCCCGCAACCTGCGGGTCAGCAGCCGAGTACCTTAGCCACTAGACCACCATGGCGGGGCTCCTTTGGGTGGTTATTGCTTCTCGTGCCAGCAAAGGTGAAGGCTGTCTGGCTTACTGCTTGTTATTCTCTCATTTATAGCTCCCCGGAGTGCAATTACATCTGTTTATGTGCAGCACTAAATTACACAAATGATCCCATTATGATTGCATTTACTGTTTTGGGCTAAGTCAGTCTCGTTGGCGATAAGATAAAGAATTATTACATCATTTTCACAAGTTTTGCTTTCTCAATGGGTGCACAAACACACATTTTTTCTCCGTGCACTCTCTCACGCTATCGGCTCACACTATGGAAGTGTGCGCCGGTTGCTAAACTGCTACTCAGTCTAGCAGCGATTCTCCTAATGTGGGCTATTTCCGAAGTGTCGAATCAGAACCCGATTCATTGGAAGTCAGTTTGTCAGACAAGGATTTACTTACGAGTTCACACTCGGATGACAATGCAGAGCGACATTTCAAAAGTGTGCACGGCAACACATTGCGGACTAGGTCAAAGGTCAAATGTGACTGTTCCCCTTTCATGTTTCCACTTGACACCGCTGATTCAGAACAAGCATCTAGCTCTGCATTGAATGTCTGTGAGCTATGTGTAATACAACGCATCATCTTTATTTTTTTAATCATGTAAGCTTTTTTTTACAATTTTGATTGATGTTACTCACAAATAAGCCATGTGTAAGAAACAACAAAAATGATTTTTTCATTTTTCATCACATTAGGTTACACAAAAATATGTTAAACAATTTTTTAAATAGAATCATCTGAAGAACTTAATTCAACAATAAAAAATGCACATTTTTGAAGTGCATTTCCCAAAAAAAATTTCAACCTTCAAAGAGTTAGGCAGTAAATATGGTGGCATTAAATAACAGCCAACTAGATAAAGTATTTTGAATACCTGCATCATACAGTACCAAGGCTTTTTGCATGATGACATAACAAAGTACTATTTTTATTTTGTGACTTCATGTGGCAATAAAATTATATAATTATAAAACTAAAATAAATTATATAGTTCTTGCTTACCGTAATTGAGAAAATCATCATTGATTATATTAAGTATGCCAACATCAGAGGACATGTTCTGAGTTGGTGCAAGTTTTTTGAACCTCTGCCAGTCATGTCATACTTGCAACACTAATTAGTTCTATTTCCTTATTTTCTTATGGACCCATTATAAGTAACGAAGCATATCTGCAATGCCTAGAAAGCAAAAAAAGTTGATGTATTTATTAGCTGAAGTGGATTAAAACTAAAACTGTACCAGCCCGCCCTTACAAATTGGCTGTGGACAATATTTTTCTCACATGAAAATGATTGGCTTCAGTGCTGCAGACCCTATCATACATGCAATAGTCAAGTCTAACTTTATTATAGCCAAAATTTACTATTATTTATAAGCATTCACAGTAACAACAGCTCTAAAAATATCATTAACATGAGCTTTACTTATTTATACTGAGTAATTTGTAATATTAGTGCTCAGCATAGGTCGGCGAACCCACTCATAAGTCGACTCACTCCGACTCAGATGCAGCCGTGAGTTTGTGAGATATCTTCAACACAACTCCTCATGTTCATTTTTTTTTATTGTAATAGCATTTTTTTACAAACTTGCGTGAGTACCTTCAAGTATGAGTTATGAGTGGTTGCAAACAAGTAAGGACATTTTTCTTAAAAGAGATGACAACGTAACATATTGTCACGTGCGTCCCGCGAAAAAGACGAAGGCGACAGCGCATACGCGCATCTGCACGCTTTTATGCAGAACACAACAACGAGAAAGATGAGGAACTCTCTCTCGCGCGGTTAACAAAAAGACCGACCCGCTGCTGTTTTCTCAGCGTCTTCGAGTACGACCTCTCTCTTGACGTCGCGACACTGGTGGAGGTGCTGGGGCCTGCAACCTGATGCAAGAAAGCGTTGTTCGGGACCGTACACCCAGTCCGGAGCCTCAACATCTTATTGCGACTCCAGTACACCGATTCAGCCGGCACCTATTAGGCCTAAGTCCAGAACTCTTGACGGCATCTCCTGTTACCAACATGGCGGCCCCTTCAACGTCTGCGAATCTTCCTCCGGCCCAGACGACTCACCCTTACCAGGTAACTTTTGAGACTCCTCATGTTCCCAAAGTCTTCCGTGGAGAACCGTATGAAGATGTCGAGGACTGGCTCGACCAGTTCGAGCGGACCGCTGTGGTGAATCGTTGGAGCGTGCAAGAAAAACTTGGCCGTGCCTACTTCGCAATGGAAAATAGCCCTCGCACATGGTACGAGAACAGGGAGCCTACTTTCCAAACCTGGGACAATTTCCGCCAAAAGCTTCTAGAGACGTTCCTGAGTGCGGACCGACGGTATCTCGCACAACAGATGATTGAAGCCCGCATGCAAAAGCCGAACGAAAGCATGGCCATGTTCGCTGAGGATATGGCCCGTCTATTTCGCCGCGCTGACCCTGACATGCCCGAGGCAAGAAAAGTTCGTCATCTGATGCGGGGAGTTAAGGAACCGCTTTTCGCCGGCCTTGTACGAAATCCGCCAACAACAGTGGATGAATTCATCAAAGAGGCAACTGTCATTGAGCGGGCGCTCCGGCAACGATGCCGCGACTTTGACCGCCTGCCCGACTAAACGCCTGTTGGTGCCGCCGCTCAAAACGCTGCCTTTTTACTAAAACTCTTTACGACAAATGATTCGACAAATCCTGCGGGAAAAGCTGCGGGCCCTCGGCCTTCCGTCTACCGATCCCCCAGTTGCTTCTGTTGCAGAAATCGTGCGCCAGGAACTACGGCAAGCCTTTCCATCACCGGCGCCACCACCCGAACCACGTCCACTGACCTATGCCGATGCCGTCCGCCGTCATCCGCCTGCCCCAGAAGAAGCACCCTTTCAGCCACGGCCTGTTACCTTGCCATGGTGGCAGCGTGAACCTGTGCGGCGACCACCAGTACGTCGGACCGACTTGTGGCGCACTGCCGACCGTCGACCCCTTTGTTTCCACTGCAGCGAACCAGGCCACATCTCGCGCTACTGCCGTCATCGAGAAACCCGGTTTGGAAACTTTTCTCGGCCCGCTTCCTTTTATTCTGAAGACCCTCGTGACCATGGTGCTGATCACCTACCGACCAACCAAGCGTCTTCACCAAGTCGTCGCTGGCGGTCTCCCTCACCTGCACGAGGTCAGAATTCCCCGAATCGCCAAAGATACGCGGACGCCATCAGAAACCGCTCCCCAAGCCCGTGCCAGGGAAACTAACTGCCGCGACCTCCGGGGGCAAGGTTGCCAATTGCCGAGACGCCAAAAAGACCCCCTTGCCTCTACACATAGACGACGTGACGACGGTGATGACGAAGACGACGACAATCACGAGTACTAATGCCAATGAATTTGTACGTGCCGACCTCAGCGTTATTATAGACGGACACCACGTAACAGCACTGGTTGACACTGGTGCTGACTTCTCTATTATGCGACAAGAGCTCCCCGACCGCCTTAAGAAGATTAAGACGCCGTGGAGTGGGCCGAGCATAAGGAGTGCTGGTGGGCAGCTAATGACGCCAACCGATAAATGCACCGCTCGGCTCGTAATCGATGATTCGAACTTCGTCGCCACTTTTGTCATTTTACCGGACTATTGTAAAGAGTTGATTTTGGGTATGGATTTTCTGCGAGAGTACGGTGCTGTCATCAACATCCCAGAACGTATCGTCACCTTTTCCGCCCATCCTTACGCCAACGCCACCACTGAAGAACAACTGCAACGTTTACATGTAGCCGATGATGTGATGCTCCTGCCGAGATCTTGCTGCCTTGTGTCGGTGTTGTGTGAACGGCCGTGCCGTAATGAGGTGATAGCGGAGCGAATAGACATGCTATTGCTTACGCAAGGTGTTTCAATAGCGAGAGGCATTCTGGCACTAATTGATGGGCGGGCAGAAGTCCTCATCACCAACTTCAGCAACGAGCGTCGTCACATCCAGAAGGGCACCGCGATTGCCTACTACGACGACGTGGACCAAGCCAGAGATTGCTTCGCTTAGCAACCGGACGAGGCGATCATCCCAGCCTCGACACCTTTGTCTGTCAACATTTGCTCAACCCTGTCAGCCTCGGAAAAACAGCGCCTACTAGAGCTGATACACCAGTTCAAAAATTGTTTTTCGTGCACGTCGAAAGTCAAGCAAACACCACTGACCCGGCACCGAATCATCATTGAAGAAAATACGAGACCGATCCGTCAAAACCCATACCGTGTGGCTCCGAAAGAACGTGAGGAGATCCAAAAGCAAGTTCAGAAGATGCTCCAAGATGACGTAATACAGCCTTCAAAGAGTCCCTGGGCATCCTCCGTGGTATTGGTTAAAAAGAAAGACGACAGCTTGCGTTTCTGTATAGATTACCCCAAGTTAAACCAAGTAACGAAGAAAGACGTCTACCCACTGCCACGCATAGATGACTCTCTTGATCGGCTGCGGCATGCATGCTATTTCTCATCGATGGACCTGCGAAGTGGCTATTGGCAAATAGAGGTCGACGAGAGAGACCATGAGAAAACTGCTTTCATGACGCCCAATGGTCTTTATGAATTTAAAGTGCTTCCATTCAGGTTATGCTCAGCGCCAGCCACTTTTCAGCGTTTAATGGACACTGTGCTATCAGGACTTAAGTGGCAGACATGCTTGGTTTATCTAGACGACGTTGTCGTCTTCTCAGCTACATTCGAGGAACACCTAAGTCGATTATTCGCAGTTCTACAAGCTATAGGTTCGGCTGGCCTGACTTTAAAGCCAAAGAAGTGCCATTTCGGTTTCAACGAACTTTGCTTCTTAGGCCACGTGGTCAGCCACAAAGGTGTTCGACCTGACCCGGGCAAAATCGACGCTGTCGCAAAGTTTCCCGCACCGCATGACAAAAGAGCAGTGAGACGCTTCTTTGGCCTCTGCGCTTATTACCGACGATTCATCGCCAACTTTTCGTCTATTGCGGCGCCTCTGACGCGGCTCACACGAGAGGATGTCCCCTTTCTTTGGAGCGAAAAGGAACAAACAGCGTTCAACGAATTACGCCAACGCCTCCAAACACCTCCGGTTCTTGCGCACTTTGACCAGGAAGCGCCAACAGCACTTCACACCGACGCAAGCAATGTAGGCCTGGGCGCCATACTGATACAATGGCAAGATAACTCCGAGAAAGTGATAGCCTATGCCAGCAGAGCTCTCTCTCGCACGGAAGAGAACTACTCGACTACCGAGAAAGAGTGCCTCGCCGTGGTTTGGGCGGTTCTCAAATTTCGACCGTATCTGTACGGCCGCTCATTCAAGGTCATCAGTGATCACCACTCGCTTTGCTGACTCACTAACTTGAAAGACCCATCCGGCCGTTTAGCACGCTGGAGCCTTCGGCTTCAGGAGTTTGATATGACCATTATTTATAAATCAGAGAAGAAGCACACCGACGCAGACTGTCTCTCGCGGTCACCCGTCGAGCCTGCCGCTATTAATGACGAGTCTATGGACGCCGCATTCTTGGGAGTCATCAACGCGGCCACTATCTCACAAGAGCAGCGCAGTGACCCTGACCTGCTTTCGCTTATCGATTTCTTAGAAGGACGACGGGAAGACGTGCCGCGAATTTTTGCGAGAGGAGTGCCATCTTTTTGTTTAAGGAACGACGTCCTATACAAGAAAAACTTTTCTCCCACCGGCAGCCCATACTTGCTCGTCGTCCCTGCATCACTGCGAAAAGAAATTCTGGAAGCCTGCCATGATGAAGTCACCTCTGGTCATCTCGGTTACACTCGAACATTGTCCCGTCTGCAAAACAGTTACTACTGGCCTAACCTACCTGCTGCTGTGAAACATCACGTCCAAACATGTGCCGACTGTCAAAGATGCAAAGCACCACCCGGCAGGCCGGCAGGCTTATTACATTCCGTTCAAGTACCAGCAAAGCCATTCGCCCAAATCGGAATGGATTTCCTGGGCCCATTCCCAACTTCTACCACAGGGAACAGATGGATCATTGTCGCCACTGATTACTTGTCTCGCTACGCAGAAACTAAAGCCATGACGAGGGCCACAGCAGCAGAAGCGACTCATTTCTTCATAGAAAACGTCGTCCTTCGGCACGGTGCTCCAACAGTTCTCATCACGGATAGAGGAACTGCGTTCGTGGCAGAACTTTTGGAGTCGGTTCTCGGGCTCAGTGGTACAGCTCACCGGAGAACAACGGCGTACCACCCACAAAACGAACGGACTAACAGAGCGGCTTAATAAGACCCTCGCAGACATGCTCTGCATGTATGTCGACACAGAACACAAAAACTGGGACGAAATCTTGCCTTATGTGACCTTCGCCTATAATACTGCCCGGCAGGAAACTACCGGAATGACGCCGTTTAGTTTAATACACGGGCGCGAAGTCACTACAACGTTGGAACGCTATGCTGCCGCACGAGTGTGACGACACTCACGCTGACGCCGAAGAATTTGGTCAGCGCGCCGAAGAAGCCCGACAGCTAGCCCGCGTGCGTAGTTGTCATCAGTAACACAAAGATGCAAAACGGTACGACCTACGACATAAATTGGTAACCTACAAACCAGGCGACAAGGTATGGGTCTGGATCCCAATACGTCGACGCGGACTTTCAGAAAAGCTATTACGACGATACTTTGGCCCATATCGAGTCACCCGACGATTGAACGACATCAACTACGAAGTTATTCCCGACTGCGATTGCAGTTCCAGTTGCCGAAACTGCTCACCCGAAATCGTGCATGTCATCCGGATGAAACCCTACTCGTCCAGCTAACTCTCGTTTGTCCTGTGCGTGCCGGTGCATATGTGCGTTTTTATAAGTAGAGTGCCTTGGCTGCGCATCGGGACGATGCCATTTTTGAAGGGAGGCAAATGTCACCTGCGTCCCGCGAAAAAGACGAAGGCGACAGTGCATACGCGCATCTGCACGCTTTTATGCAGAACGCAACAACGAGAAAGATGAGGAACTCTCTCTCGCACGGTTAACAAAAAGACCGACCCGCTGCTGTTTTCTCAGCGTCTTCGAGTACTACCTCTCTCTTGACGTCGCGACAATATATTTATCGAGAACTTCCGCGAAACAGTTGGTAAGGGTGGAAGAGGAGGAGGAGCAAGTCTGGGTGGGTAATATTTTGGCAAGTTTGAGTCCGAGTGAGTCCAAAGCGCAAGAGATATTTCTTGCGCGAGTCTGAGCAAGTTCCACCTTTGTCTGCTGACCAATTGCCCTTTCACTCATCTTCAGCATTAGTATGAGCATTACCTGGATCCACGTTTATACCCAAACGTATTCTAAAAGCATCATCATTCATAAGATATTTGATTATTTATTGATGACAAATGTGACAGGCCTTGAACTCTCCTCCTCCCTTGCCAAATGTTCCAGGGAAGCTCTGGATAAATATATCTTATGTTGTCATCTCTTTCAAGAAAAATGTCCTTACTGGTTTGCAACCACCCATAACTAGTATTCGAAGGTACTATGTGAAAAGGTGTCAATAAGAGCACCAATTACATGAGACACAGGTGTTAAAGAACATTAACACCATGGTTGAAGAAGTTCATTCTTGACTAACAAACTCGGTTGTCGACTCACTTGGACTTACCCAGACTCAGATCAAGTCACGAGTATGAGTGAGTTCAGGTGAGTAATATTTTGACGAGCTTGAGTCAGAGTGAATCTTGCTCAGAAAAATTTTGGTGACTCTGAGTACGAGTGAGCCCAAAGCGCAATCTATACCTCATGAGTAAGCCTGGGTGAGCTCCACCATTTTCGCCGACCTATGGTGCTCAGTATGTCAAGTACAAGGCGAAATTTCCCACAATACAGCCAAAGAGTAGCATTTCGAACTTCTTAAGTCTCCATTAGTATTTCTAGTTTGGACATAAAAACTTTCATGAACAATTTTCTTGCAGGTTTGCACCATAAAAATGAGATTCGTGCAGTCACGACGCTGAGAAGAGAAAGGCTATCAAGGCAATACATAACTTACCTCATCTCCAGGGTTGACAAGACCCAGTATAGTGGTGTAGAGAGCCTCATAAGCACCTACTGTAACCAGAACCTCCTTCAGAGGGTCAATCTGGCGACCTGTTAGCCGAGAGTACATCTTTGCCAATGCATTGACTAGCCGCAGATGACCCTGCAAGAAAAGAAAAGCTGAATGTTAATATGTATGTCTCTCAGAGGATTAGCTATCCTTACTACTATTTTTATTGGCCAGTTGCCTTCCCTCAAGAGCTGCATTTAGTATAAGGACAGGGCAAGCTGGTGTCCCTATCCTTATCCTCCTCCTTTTAACTGTTGGTTGTGTTGGCTAATTCAACTCAAAATGTAGCCCTGGCTTTGTGCATCACGCAAATGTGTAACGAGGGACAAAACCAAAGGTGCCCAGGACAACAGGTTTAAAAAAAACGCAATTCTCACCAAGGCAAAAGAATACTGCCCAAATTTTAAAATATCAATGTGCAGTAGTTTTTGCAATTCACTGAGTTATATATATAATAAATCAAAAAGCTCATGCATCAATAACAGAGCAGAAATTCGCATTTGCCACAGTTCCCACGTTTTGGAGAGCTTAAGAGCAGGCATTTATAGTGGACTCATTAAACGGAACCTGAAGGGACCGGGAAAATATGTTCCTTTTAGCAGGAGTTCCGTGTACTGAGAGATGAGTAGAGGTGCAGAATACAAGTACGAAACCAATCATATCAGAGGCAGTTGTTCCATTGGAGCAGCAGTTCTGTTTAACAGATTTCCATTCACTGAGAGTCCACTGTATTTTAGATGTAAGGTTAGTTCTCATTAAGTATTTCTATTCGTGACAAATGGGCTACAAAATTTTGCCGTTGTGTTCTTTTCATCACTGTAGTTTCTTCCTCCGTAGTACTTCCCTCTTAATCCTAGAAATGCCCCACAAACTAGCCAAATCATCCACGCTCCTACTGACTGTCAGGGAAGCAACTACAGTGAACTCTACGTAGGACGAACCCCACATTAACAAACTTTTCAGATTAACAAACTTTTTAAAAAATCCTGTGCCGACTGCTAATAGTTTCAATGTAAAATTATTTCACTACTACGTACTTCAGAATACCAATATTTTAGAATAACGAGCCTTAATTTAGTTCGGCATTATATTAACGCCTCAGTACTACGAACTCATGTTATAAAATTCGTCGCGACCACCGGAGCAGTACGCAAGCAGACGACAAAGTGAACGACCGCCTTGCTTCTCGGAAAACGCGCGACAGTGCGGAGGGAAAAAAAACTAAAGGGCGACTTTCTTCTCTTTCTTTTTGTTGAAACGCCGACGCTGCACGTTCACAAGCCCAAAGGCGAGGAAAGAGGGCAACGTGGGAGGGCAAGGTCAGTGAGGCAGAGTGGAAGTTGCGGAGCAGGGAGCATGGACGCGGAAAACCTGAGACAGCAAGGGAGAAGAAAACGAAACGCGAGGCATTTTCTTTTTTAGCGCTTTTTTTTTTCTTTAGAAGAGGCGATGACAGCAGCGACGCTTCGGGTTTTTCTTTGTCACTTCTTCGTGTGCAGTGCTCTGAGAGGCCTGGTTTATCAGTCGTGTTCATCTATTTTCGGCGATTACCTATCGCAAAGCAAGTCGGCGTTCATGCTGCGGTACTACTACAAATGAGTTTATCTCTACTTGCGATGAAGAAGCGGAAGCAGTTCTTGCTAAGCGAGACAGTGGATATTCTTCAGCGACTAGAAATCAAAAAGCAGGCTGTTGTGACCAAAAAACCAAATTGCACCACAGGAATGTAGATTAGCTGGAGGCCTCCGCGCTGCAAAGTTTGTGCTGCACGTGTCAAAACAAAAAAAAATCACAGGTTTCTTTAAAGTAAACATGCATTTTTTTGGTGTTCACTAGTGCATTTGTTTTTTCTCGTGAAAAACGAGTTCAAGGACCCACTGTTGTAAAGGTAAGCCGTTTTGGTCCGTGGAAAATAAGTATTTATGGTTAATTTTTGGGCTTTCACTATAACGACCTTCCAAAATAATGAACTAATTGCCACAGCCCCCTGAAGTTTTTTATATCGAGATTTCACTGTACTGCCTTGACAAAGACAAATGATACCCACTTTTTGAAACATCAACTACACTGATGTTCTCTGTTCAACGATTTTTTTCACTTTAAGCCCTTATCTTCCACAGAACTTCTGTCTTGTTAGGATGTCCATATGATGAAACTTTTGAAGCTTGATGTAGCTAAAGCACATTCCACCAGATATGATCGAGCTTTACCATAACTCTGCCACTAGTAAAAGATGGTAATATGGTATGTCCTAAGGCTGTATAGGTAATGAGCATTCAAAACAATGCCTGCAAATAAGACACTCTCATTTTACATGACTCCACAACAGCTGACATACACCACAGATAAGACAAAGAATATGAGCTATCTACTTGCGCCATGAAACCTCCTATTGAAGTACAAATTCCTACAAGCTAGCTAGGTCAAATATACCAACCAGTGCACTTGCCAGAAACAGTAATACTTTGCCTATCAAGTCCTCTTCTGCATATCCAGAAAACATGTACCAAGTTTGGAGGAATATGTTAGAGCACTGGTTTGGGGGTTGAGCACAAGTGACTGACTGCATCTCAGAATTCAATAGTAACAATATGACCATTTAAAGTATAAAAAAAGTGTGATGGGGGTCTGCTGTAGTAGTGACTACTCACATATCCTCGTGTGTATTGATGAAGCAAGTTTCCTGATGCGGCTTCCTGGAGGGCTTTAACCACAAAGTCTGGTGGAGGGAAGTCTGGGAATCCTTGGCCCAGATTAATGGGCTTCGTTTCCTGAGCAAGCTGAATGAACTCCACCCTGGTATATGAAAAAAAATAAAGAATACTGTAGAATGATGGCTGTCAAATGAATTTCAACATGCATGGCATATCATCAAAGATATGTCAATATTTTATGTCAAATGCTTGTACACTGAGAGAGAAGCATTTGAGGAGAAACTCCCAGGCCGCGTCAGTGCGACGCGATAGCGTCATGGAGCAATGTGGCTTACGTTAACGCTCGGCAGATGACGCCTTTGACGTGTTGCCATCTTTTACATGCGCTTCTATGAATGTGACACATAACAATCGTGATAGCACTTCGTACAGTGCAAAATTTTTCAAATTGTTGTGTGCAACATGAATAAATAGATGCGACAGATATTTCAGCGGCAGTTATTGATACTGCGAGAACACTAGCCACAAAGCGCCTCAAACAAGCGCCTGGAACAGACGACGTCTGCCACATGCGCACATCTCTCATTCCTCGCTCGCATGTTGTGGGCACATGCATGAGTGGCCAAGAGAGGGAAAGTTCCCCACAAGCTGTCGCTGACTGTTTGTGCGTATTTGTCGCCGCGATGAAGGACATCACTTTGCAGAATTCGAGCGATCTTTCTTCAGGATGGGGTGGAAAAGTGTTGTGCCGAACTGCAGCAGTAGTTATACGTCCTGCAAGGCAAAGGTAATTAATTGCCTGCCGGTGAGGTTGGAAGTTTGGGATCACGGCATACCTAGGAAATATCGCGAGCAGACACCCCGTGAATATGTTTGTGAGAAGCATTTCTCAGACGGCGACTCTGCCACGCCATGTTACATGATATATAGACATGTTAAATGACACTGCATGACATTCATATAGTTTGTTTTTTTTTAAGCAGCTTCCAGCGGTGTTGTAGGTACGTGGTCGAACAGCTGCATGCCATGAAGAATGCATGAGCATCTGTCTCAATTTTGTGGTCACGGACAACACTGAATTTTTCCTCCCCAACGAACGACGAGGACGCGACTTTTCTGCGAAATGTGCTTTGTAACGCTTTTGGGTTAAAATTTTGAGCTGGCAAGGACGCACTGAAACACACCCAAGTGGGTGTGAAGTGGGAACGGTGAATCGAGCAGAGTGGTCTTGAACCAGAGCGTGGTGAAAGCGGTGCGCACATTTTTCCTCCTCCCCTAGCGGAGTTTCCCAGCAGAGGGCACGTAACTGCTGTGCCCGATTTCGTGACTCTTTCAGGGAGCCCGAGCGAGCGCAGTTTCGCCTCCTCGATAATGTTTGCTCCATGGTACAGGCATACAATAAATAAAAAAACAGAGCTTACATTTCATAAGGAATCTGTGTAGTAGTGGCATTACCCACTGCAACTACTTACAAAGTACGAATCGTGTTCAGTGACACACGCAATCAGATCCTGACTGTCAGATTAGCACAGCAAAATCTTTACTAAATTTGTTTTGTTTTGCACATAGCTTAATTACATGTAACAGAACATTGCAATTTCAGTGGTCACAAAATCATTGCGGAGTTTAAATTTCTTGTGACAGATGGATAGTAGACAACCATTTCGTACCGCACTAGCCAGCTTGATAGTCGGTATGTGGCAGGTACTTCCGCATGCACAGTCAAAGGACTGCACAATGCAAGGGCTCTACTGTTGTTAATACAGTCGCACCTTCACGTAATGAATACGGATACAATATGTATTATTGGACATAATGTAAATTTATACTTCTGTTAAAAAGGTCAGTGTGTAACGAATACATGGTTAAAGTAAATGTGATTTTTGTGCTGATTATAGTGCCCTACATTGTGACACAATGAGGTAGTAAAAAAAACAGACGACGATTCTGCAAAAGGTAGAAAAACGTAGTATACTTGACGTCTACGATTTTTCTTTTGATTTTGTATATTATGCACATATGACCGAACAGTCTGACACAACATTTTGTTTTCAAATAAAAAACTTTTGAACCAAGAAAAAAATTGAGGAGCATCGTCGGGTGACGACAGCCGTTTTACTAGGAGTGAGTTTTCACTAATTGGCGATCATGCTAACAGTGAGGCAAGCATTATATCACAAATATATTTCTATGTGGCTCAAATATAAGTAATGGAGAAATAGCTCATTTTATATTTTTTAATTCTGCGCAACTAAAGTACTTTTTTAAATTCCCGAAAACCGTGTTTTAGAAGCCCACTCATTTCTGGGGCGAAATTTCTGCGTCTGTGAATGACATAACTTGCTTATATTTACAGCACTGATAGACCTTTATGTGAGTAATGATCACCTGCATTCCCATTTGTCTAGTAATTTTTAAAGGAATAAATTTTGCTGCTCCAAACATTAAAAAAATAACTGTTGATGAATTACAAAATCTATAATAAAAAACCACTCTCAATTTTGCACAAAATTATTTAAATTGTTCTCAGCTGACTGCGCTATCATATTTTGAAAAAAACATGTTGCATCATTTTCATAGGAACAAACTTTTAAATTTGTAAACATGTTATCGGAGCACGTTCGCAACCACGTAAATAACATCTCTTCAGCCAAGAAGATACAATAACACGCTTTTTAAAGACTATAGTCTTTCTTGGGGTACTTTGACACAATAATTTTGGTCTCTCTGTCTCTCTGTCTCTCTGTCTCTCTCTCTCTCTCTCTGTCTGTCTGTCTGTCTGTCTGTCTGTCTGTCTGTCTGTCTGTCTGTCTGTCTGTCTGTCTGTCTGTCTGTCTGTCTGTCTGTCTGTCTGTCTGTCTGTCTGTCTGTCTGTACATTTGTTTGCCGTAACGATACCCCAAACGGCACCAAACAATACCTCAAACAGCCAACCCCATCCGCAGCGCCCACCAATAATGCTCAAGTTTAAGCGTTCATCCTTGTGTGATTGTCAAGTAAAAAGCATTTTTTGCGCATCGGCACCATAACAACACGTCGACATTTTGTATGAGTGTCTTTATACTAGAGAAATAATTCTAAGAACCCTAGCGTTTATCATGCACTGACAGTGCAATGCGATGCCCAAAAAGGCAAGTGTTTAAAACGCTTTGCTAAGATGACACGGTGGTGGCACCTGCCCGTCGCTTTGCATTCTACACCTTATCACTTCCGAGACAGGCGTGCATCTTTCTCCGTGAGCGCACACACCTTCTTTCATTTTCGAAGATAACTGCCAGATGGCGCTCGTGTCTAACTTGCCTCGATGCACTCGTTCGCCTTCGCCGCCCGAATCGAGACTCTCCAACGCAGCACTTCCAGAATACAATTCACCGATTTTCTCGTCAGAATATCAAATTAACGTTTTGTTCACTCTCTCCACACGCAAGACTATCATCTTTCGATGACACTTGCAGTGAAACATGCAGGTACGAGGCCAATTTTTTCTTCTCCGATTTTCCGAAAAAACAGTAATAAGGTATTGCCCGCTTGAGTAAAGTGTCCTCTAAAAAAAACATGGCCCCTTGAATGAAATGCATCTGAGTATATATCTCAACGATTGTGCATCACAACAAAAAAAAATCAGGGATAATAAGAAGCAACACAAACACAAGCACAACTGCCCACTCTTGAGCGGTTACTTCTCATCCCCGTGATTTTGCGAAAGATCGTTAAAATGAAAGTTCTCCAAATTGGCCGACACGCAGTTTTTTTTTTTTTTCAGTGAATTTTAGTTCGCAACATTATTGCAATGCTCGCAGACATGCAGCGTGCGCTGTTTCTTGTCTACATATCTGCCTTTTGTTTCAGTAAACGTGCTATTGCAAAACCAATGGAGATTCACGAAAAATTGTGTAGACAAGGTTCCCGTCTGACATTGTTATAAATTAAGAGCCCACAAACGGCGACAGTGTCGACCAGCGAGTACCGGAGTGCAACTTGAGAACCACAGCCCCACATGCTTTGCCCGTCTTTGCCGCTCTGCAACACAGAATGATTGGGCATGGACTGTGTAGGTTTCATGATACATTTTTCTTTGGGCATCGCAGATCGACCAGTTCTCCGAATGTGCACCGTTTGTATACCAATCGTGTGGGAGATCAAGTGCCTGCGCTCCATGCCTCACTGTAAGTAGAGTAGCGTGCGTTGTGTGACTTCCGGAAATAAAAAAAAAAGGAAGTAGTGGAAACTCTTTACAACCGTGAAAGCCATCCTGTCATGGGATATTTACCAGTGCAAACCAGGCGAGATTCACACAAAGCTTGCTTTGTCCATTGCCAGGACTGCTGCCATTGAGGTTTATGTAAACGATGTGTTTTAAGCACTGCTAATGGCACATGGTTTGAAAAAGTACAATTTTATGCCAGAAAAACTTTCTGACAACTTTTTTTCTAGAAGCTCATTTTCTTTCCTGAGGAGACCTTACGTTTTACATAAACCTTTTGGAATTGTGGGACAGCACAGCACAAGAAAAAAAAAGAAAGCATTGAGAAAATCAGCTGATTAGCATCCAAGATATACATTCCGTTTTAGGAGAGCAAAAGAAAAGAAAGAAGGACTGAACTGTAGGGGCTGCTTTTGGACTGAATGGTAATAAACACAAGCAAAGTCGTGAACTACTCAAATGCATTTCATTCAGGAGCTGCTTTTTTTTAGAGAACACTTCACACTAGCAGATAATACCTTATTACTATTTTTCTGAAAAATCAAAGAAGAAAAAAGTGCATTATTATATAGTCTTGGCACAAGAGATGTCATTTACGTGGTAGCGAACATGCTCTAAAAACACAATGTTTAAAATTTTGTAAGTTTGTTTCTATAAAAATTATACATGTTTTTTTTTTCAGAATTGATAGCGTAGTTGTCCGAGAACAATTTAAACAAATTTGAGCAAAATTGAATCATTTTTTAAATAAAATTTTTAAATTGATCAACAATTTTTTTTATGCTTTGAGTATCAAAAATCATTACTTGTAAAATTACTAGACAATTGCGAATACAGGCGATAATTATTCACATAAAAGTCTATCAGTGCTATAATTATAAAGAAGCTATGGCATTCACAGAAGCAGAAATCGCACCCCAAAAACAAGTGGGCTTCCA